TTAAGGGGGTAGTGTCACAATATATAGTCAATGCGTGCTCCGAAATACATTATGCGTTCCGAAACAGACAAGTGACAATAAATATGGCAACGCCGCATGAGGCGAAAATCCTCTGTATATCTATACATACGTATAAGTATAGATACATTCGGAGGTTATATTGTACGGAAACATTGAGTTGGTGGTGAAATATCTGTAAAAAATGTCTGAATGTTTTCGTTTAACAAATGGGAGACTTGTCAAAAAAAGTGGCACGTATGCACATACGTATACAAAATGCCGATAATGCAGATTCCCTTCGGTACTATAACAAGACGTTGCAACATCTTCACGGATCTTTAAGTACACACTTTTAATTCGTTATAACTAAAGAACGGTGAAGCTTCGGATGCTGTTTGTATAATACGATGTTTAAAACATACTATTTTACATTATATTTCAATTTCAGCAAAGTCTTAATTTTTTTTTAGTTGTAATCAGTAAAACACTCTTTCTCTCATAAGAGTACGTGTTAAATGGGTAATTTATTTCTCGAGAACGGTGAAGCTAGGATGTCTGAAAATTTAATATGTTATTCTACGCATAATTGTTAGTTTATACAAATTTTTTCAAGGCGTTCCTAAATTTTTGAATTTTGTGACACTACCCCCTTAAGTTATAAAATATGAATTAATAACATAAGCGCCAGTCACCTGATGACCCGGAATGCTTACTGGCCACTCTATTAAATAATAAATTATTAATAAATAAAACAAGCGCCTATCACCCGATAACCTAGGGCGCTTACTATCAGCTGTATTAAGTAATAAAATATAAATTAATAACACAAGCGCCAGTCACCTTATGACCCGAGGCACTTACTGGCTGCTGTATTGAATAATAAAATGTTAAATAATAACTCAAGCGCCATTACCCGATGTCTCGGGGCGCTTACTGGCCACTCCATTAATTAAAAAAATAATGAACACTAACATAAGCGCCAATCACTAGACAACTCAGGGCGCTTACTGGCCATTGTATTTAACAATAATTAATTATTTAATAACTCAAGTGCCGAACACCCGATGACCCGAGGCACCCACAGGCCACTCCATTAAATAACAAAATGTTAAACAATAACACAAGCGCTAATCTCCTAATGACGTGGGGCACTTACTAGTCAATTTATTAAATCATAAAGCATTAAACAATGACACAAGTGCTAAACACTAGGCAACCCAGGGCGCTTATTGGCCACTTAATTAAATCAAACTTTGAGTTGCCTGGTGATTGGCGCTTGTGTTATTGTTTAATGCTTTATGATTAAATAAATTGACCAGTAAGTGCCCCACGTCATCAGGAGATTGGCGCTTGTGTTATTGTTTAACATTTTGTTATTTAATGGAGTGGCCAGTGGGTGCCTCGGGTCATCGGGTGATCGGCACTTGAGTTATTAATTAATTAATTATTATTTAATACAATGGCCAGTAAGTGCCCAGAGTAATTGTCTGGTGATTGGCGCTTATGTTATTGTTCATTATTTTGTTAATTAATGGAGTGGCCAGTAAGTGCCCCGAGATATCGGGTAATGGCGCTTGAGTTATTATTTAATACAGCAGCCAGTAAGCGCCTCGGGTCATAAGGTGACTGGCGCTTGTGTCATTAATTCATATTTTATTACTTAATAAAGCTGATAGTAAGCACCCTAGATTATCGGGTGATAGGCGCTTGTTTTATTTATTAATAATTTATTATTTAATAGAGTGGCCAGTAAGCATTCCGGGTCATCAGGTGACTGGCGCTTATGTTATTAATTCATATTTTATAACTTAAGGGGGTAGTGTCACAAAATTCAAAAATTTAGGAACGCCTTGAAAAAATTTGTATAAACTAACAATTATGCGTAGAATAACATATTAAATTTTCAGACATCCTAGCTTCACCGTTCTCGAGAAATAAATTACCCATTTAACACGTACTCTTATGAGAGAAAGAG